TGGCTGGCAACCGGTTCAGGGTGTCCCCCGCCTACTGCCCGAAGACAGCTGGGATAGGCTCCAGCACGCCCTGCGACCCTGGTGAGGATAGAGCGGATCAGAATATGGATGGATGGATAGCTACTGACTAACATACCAGGTCAACATTTTCAACGGGATTGTTGTTTCTCGCTGGAGTATTTATTATTTTGATGATGACTTTTTTTTTTTTTGTGGTTAAGAGAAGTAATGAAGACTGTGATAACACAGATAGTACAAATGCTCAACCAAACAACATGGCCCTTCTGACATTTCCATTCCAGCTTACCTACTACACAAACCATTTTTGTCTCCTGCATTTAACTTGTGGGAAGCTGCCATTAAATGTGCTTTCACCTTTGCTTTGTTGTGTCAGCTGAGGCCAAAAGCCTTTTTTTTTCTTATTTTTTTCATCTGCATTCAATCACGACATGACAGCATACACCCCCTAGTCTCAGTGCTGTAGCATGAGATGACTCAAAGAGGGGGAAAAAAACACCAATAACCTCGCAGGGCACATCATTAAATTGTGTGTTTACACTTTTTTGTTTCCTGTAAACGGTTTATTTGTGTGCAATGTGCAGTCATTTGCCCAAAGATGACAAGAAGTGCTGTCTATTTCATTTTACAATGTGGCTGTCCGATGAAAAGTGTGTGTATAACATGTTCAGATAAAAAAAAAAAAAAAGAACAAGTATTACAGCAATCTATTAGAAAAACACCAACCATTATGTTTGTTTGTACACACATTTAGCAGGAGCAGATGCTGTATATTGCCCAGTCTGCCTTTTTATTCCTTTTATTGTGGATTGCACTTTGAGACATGAAAAATGGGACCGATGGTATCTCGTATTTGACTGAAAGTGAACGTTTTTTCCTTTTCTTCACTGAAAAAAATCAGCTCGAACAACCGCTTATCGTAATAGAGATTGGAGAAAGTGCATTATTGGAGAAAGTGCATGTTGAAATGCTGTAACATAAGGAAGAAAACAGCACGGGATCATATTGTATCTCCAACTGCGCGTCACAGCATGCAGAACCGAAAGGTCATTTGCTATGAACAGAAACATGACCTCAGAAAACACAATTGTCCAACTCCTATTTTCACAGAACATGCAGGAGAACACGGATCATCTGATTCTGTTGAAAATTGGCAAAATAATTTCATTTGCTTTATGCGTCGGGATCTTGGACCTATTCCACTTAGAATGAACAATCACAACACACATTCAAACAACAATAAATCATACTCCAAATTCCAAATTTTATACCCGAGGTAAGGTTAGTGGTGCTTACTTCCACTACCTAAAGAACTGTCAAAACCAACAGAAGATTAATCTGTAGCTTTGGTGAAAAGCAAAACATCAGGTTGAACATTCATCAGATTTTATGAGTAACGTCCATTGACACTCTCTCTCTCTCTCTCTCTCTCTCTCTCTCTCTCTCTCTCTCTCTCTCTCTCTCTCGCGCTCTCTCTCTCTCTCTCAGGGGGTGGGGCACCAGTGCGCCACACAATCTGTCAGTAATTCACAATCATACAAAATGTATTTGGATTTAGGCAGAAGCTGATGGGGAAAAAAAATTAAAGTTCCATTTTTCTTCAGGGACTAGCCAGTGAATTGAAGAAAAATGTCTGTGCAAGCTGAATGATAAAAGTTCATGCGGAATTGCCAAGCAACTCCTCCGCATTGTAGAAATATGACGTGTTTATGATTCCCTGCGGTGCATCTCATGGGCGTCTTCGCCTGTTGCTGGATTGACAAGCACCCGCAGAGCCGTGCTAGAAAACGAGTACAGTCCTTTTACTGTCACTTAACCGAGTCATTAATTGTAAAAAATAATAATAAAGACAATCGGCTTCAGTCCATCCGTGACCCTGATTAGGAAAAGTGATATAGAAGGTGGATGGATGAAATACTGACGGAAATGCTGCTTGGGTAACAACCTGCTAGTGTTGAAATATACATTTATGCTAAATGACTCAAGTGTTCTTTTTTTTTTTTTTTTTCTGTGTGGCCTGTTTGAAAAGAGGACGTTTCATTTCCACGCTCATGAATCTACCAGGCTGTGAATGATGAATATATAGCTTCCAAGGCACATTTCAAAGGATGCGGGGTATACGGCAGCAGAGACAATGTAAATGACCTCCCTCATGCTCATAAATCCACCGTTTGTTTGTCTATTCATCTTTGCAGCAACCTCCAAGAGCACCACTGGAGACAGCCATGAAATAAACTATTCTGATAGTCCGAATTTATTATATTGATCTTATCACTTACTGATTTTGTGTTTCAGTCAGCATAGGGATGACGGTAAAAAAAAAAAAATAATAATAATAATAAAAATAGTGGCAGCTCATACTGTGTCATGACAAGTTCCCGATACAAACATCCAATGATAGACATGTCATCCAATTACGCAATAGAAAACAATTTCATATGGCTTTTTTTCTGAATGTATTTTTATTTTGGGGCCCGCTACTGGAACCTCAAAGCATCTGTTTCAGGAGGTTGGTCAACCGAAAATTTTCCCCTCGAGCCATCCATCCCTACATTTTCGTTCCATTTTTGTAACTGATTTCGAATTAATGTTGCCCCACTTAAAATATTTGCAGTTGAATTAAGCTATCACAAGGGCAATGTTTTCATTCATATTTTAGTACAGTCAACCGTTGAAAGAGTTAGTAAAACAATAAAACGTTGAGCAAAGTTTATTTTTGATGACTACTGATTTGGTCTGTAAGTTACTTTTATTATTTTTTTTTGGGGGGGGTTTAAGATCTTCATGAACATTTCGCTCTTTGGCTTATCTGCATTGATACTCTTGTCATGAGATACTCGGTAAATACACAGAAAAGCCAAGGAAAGCTAAAAAAAAATAAAAATAAAAATTTTAAATATGGTATGTATGGCAAGCGAGATTGTCCGATTGAGTCTTACCTTGCCCTGTCTTTGTTCATTCATCCATCCATTTTCTTCCGCTTATCTGGCATCGGATTGCGGGGGGAAGCAGTTTTAGCAGGGAAATCCGAATTTGCCTCGCCGGAGGCATTCCCAGTCCCGCAGGGAGACCGATTCATTTTGTTTGTTCATATTCTGGATAGAGAGTATCGTCAAGAAAATGTGTTCATGACAATTGTTGCCGCCAGTAGTCAGGAACCGTACGAAGGTAATTCAAACACACTTGAGCATACACCTCTGACCTGCACAACCCTGATGTTGGCGATTTGTGACTCCAGGAGTCCAGGTGGAACTACTTGTTTTCCTTCCTGGCATTGCCTGCAGTGCTGCAGCTCTGCGTTCTGCCTTTCCTCCCTGAGAGTCCTCGTTACCTGCTGATTGAGAGGAGGGATGAGGCTGCAGCAGAGAGAGGTACTGTAACAAATGCGGCCGAGTAATGAAAGCACTCTCGCTTAAGCTGCTTTGTAACACTTACAAACACTTGCATTGGCTGCACACCGCATTTCGTGTTGTTCCTGGAGATGTCATGAAACTAGAGAATCAAGTATGATATTTGCTTTGCATTATATTTTTCTTTTGCTACGAAAAAAAGATAATTTTGTTGTTTGTATTCACGTGGTGCAACTTCTTCTGAAGAGGGACCTCTTTTGTACCCTTGACAATGGACTCGTAAAGCTTATGAACATGCACTCTTAAAAACAGTTGGGTTCTTTTCATTAACTCAATTTTTGGTTTGTTTGTGTTGGGTAAAATTCTGGGTTATTTCTGATGAAAGTCACCAAATTGTTGGTTCAAATTCAACATGTATTGGGTGATGTGCCTGTAATGTTTTGGTTGGGTCAAAAATCAACCAGTTTGTCATCTTTATTTAACCCTAAAAGTTGGGTCAAAACTGAATAACCCAATTTTTTAGCTCAAATTGACCCAAGTGTGGGTCAGTCCTTTATTAACACGGTAATTGGGTCAAATTTAAACCAAAATTTGCTGTTTTTGACTCAACTGTTTTAAGAATACATGTGGCCTTTTGCTGCACAATTCTACATACTGAGAATGTGGCTGAGAAGTCACCGTTTACCACACCACCCACAGTCGGGGTTTCATGAAATAAAATGCACGCATATACCAATTATGCCCAACACATTCATAATACAAGCAGTAAGAAATCTAAGTTAAAAAACAACATTTATTTCGCTTAATTGTATAGATCATGCCCCTGTTCTCTAACCTTTGTGCAATTTGACCTTCGTTGTCAACTCCTTTGCATTCGAGGACTGCTTCTTTTTAGGGGACACATTCTTCTTTCCTCTCTGCCATCTGTCTTTGTTTATGCTCTTCAATATGTGTCAGTTCAAATTGACATCAAAGGAAGTCCTTTCTCTTTTGAGCAGACAAAAACGTACTAAGGAGTACGTGTGTGTCAAGTCTTGCAAGTTCATTCTTGACATGCCGGAAGAAAATGACCCTCCTCGAACAGTCATGCTGTGCTCATGTCTGCTGCTGCTGCTGATTAGTGTTTAATTATCGGTAAAATATGCATTTGCTGATGTTTGTACATATAGTGCCAATCACTGGCTGCTGGAGTACTCTCTGTCCTTGAGGAAAACAAGATTGCCCGTTAAGAGGAAACTTCACCCAAACGCGCCTCACATCCTTCATATAGCTGTCAGCCACTGGCTGCTCCCCGGAGCCTGAGCAGCGCTACAAATCCATGTTGTTGCTTCAGCAGAAATTGTGGTCAACAATGTGTAAATATTAAGAGGTGACTCTGTGAGGTCCTCATAGTATCACAGCACTTTTTCTGAGACACACAAAAGCTCCCCTGAAAACCTGAACACATCCATGTAACACACTTTGACCAGCCGAACAGCCTCAAAGTCTCATTGATGTGACGCCAATTTATAATAAGGATGAAAATACTGCACAATGATGGACCGTCCACGATTACCACTGGCACTGGTAGAACTTTGATGCTGTCTTATGTATAAAGCTTTTGGGCTCATTTTGTTTGAAAACATTCTCAAACTAGCTTGTGCCCTCAATCTGCACGCAGCCTGAGGTACCTCTCACCACTGGGTTTTAACTTTATGACTATTAAAGTGAAGGAAGTGATGCGTTAAAACCAACAAATTCCCCCTAGTGCTTCACTTAAAAGTTCAAAGAAAGGTCCCGAGCTGCAAAAAGGCAAGGCAAAAATTTGTTTCAAATACAATTCAACTGTTTAAACTTTAAAACTATTCTCCGTCTATTTATCTTATTTCTAATTGTCGTCACTGCTCTTTGGATTAAAATACAACTCAGCTCTCAACCTAACTTTATTTGTTGAGCATTTAAGAGACAACCAAACTACCCAAGTCGGACATATGAAAAGAAACACATTACATACATACATACATACATACATACATACATACATACAAAGAAAAGATGAACAACTAGCTTGTCAAAAAATAAAGAAGGCGTGACGCATATTATCTTTCCAGTGCCAGATTCCGAATTAAATTTTTTTAAGACAACTACGGGTATGCTAATGCTATTTGTACACTTGCGTGACCAGCCTTTCAGAGATTCCTCGGTAAAAAGGATGTTTCTCTTGAGATGGAAGAGGTCCACGCAGAGGCACGAGCTCAAGAAACTCTCCACACGGTCTCCATGGTACAACTTCTGAAAAGCCGGTCTGTTCGCTGGCAGCTCATCACCGTCGTGGTCACGATGGCCAGCTATCAACTCTGCGGCCTCAACGCTGTAAGATACGCCTCTCAATTTTGTTCGACCGACATGAAATAAGACAGTACAATCGAACTTGACACTTTTTTTTCCAAATGCAGTTTTGACCACTCTAGTTGTTTTCGGTTACTTTTTAAAAGTGTGATTGCCGAAAGTGTTGCCAAAAATATATGTTAATTAGCACCACAGTATGGCTGTAAGGCTGTATTATTATAAGTGTCAATATCGATGGTAGGTAGATACAGTCGAGTAGACTGGCGCTTGACATCACACTTTTTACACTCTTATATATGTCTTGGAATCAATACATATAAACAAAATGTGTACCAGATGAACGACCAAATTCTCAGTTATACATATGCTCAGGTGTCAGCAATCAAATGGAGACCGCGAATATGTGACATGCATGCGCCGTCTTGTCAAGGGTTTTCTGAGGTACTGTTTTATGGGGAAAGAAAACAGCTCATGTTTGTTTGATAATTTTTCATTTTGGGCTAATTGGCCAACAGCTTGTGAACTGCTTACAGACCACAGGGCCAAGACATTAGTTTTATTAGCATCTTTTGTTGTCCACCCAAAGGTAAGACTGAGTTTCACTGATCGTCTATTGTTTGTTTCCAGATCTGGTACTACACTAATGGGATCCTACAAGAAGCAGGCTTTGCTCAAAATATCATCCCGTACATAACCCTCAGCACAGGAGGTATCGAGACGTTTTCCGCTATCATCTCTGTGAGTATTGCCACCTTAAAATCGTCTTATTGATGTGTTCGCTGTTTCCTCGCTGCCCTAAACCCCCTTGAAATTATTTTTCTATGCATCATTGTGATAGGCTTTGCATTTGTAATCATTTTATTTCATATTCAAAGCGCCATTATACATATGGAATGGGGTTCACTACGTTTGTTAAAGGTGCTTTACCCTGATGGTGATTAATTTAATAACCACAGCCTCTCCGGTAGCACACAGGAACATCATTTTGCGGCCTCTTTGTTGTTGTTTTATTTTATTTGTGTTTAGAGTGAGCTACTTGTATATTCCTAATACACACTTCAACCCTTAAACAAGAAAAAAACTCTTAAGTATGCAATCTCAAGTTTGCCTCCCTACAATCATTAATGGGATGGTTGTAATTGCCCACAACCTCAATGTATTCTTAACACTGGTTAACGAAAAAACGAACAGCTCATTTGCATGTCCTAATTTATGCCTTTGTGCTTTAGTACAATGTGCTGTGTGGTAAAAGAAATCGGAAAGCAGAGAGTCTTCTTAATTGTTTCTATCACAGTGTAATTTGGCATAACTGCAAATGTTAGAGTTTCAAGATGTTTCTCAGGTGCGCCTCTTCATCTCATTTCCACTGCCCGAGGACAATGCCTAATTATGCCCGTTGCGTGCAGTTGAGGTCATGCCATGTTTGAATTTTCCATTTAATTAAAGCCAACGTTGCCCGTTGTTTGAGAAGACAACCGGCTTCAGCTCATTTCTGTATTCGGCTCACTCACAAGACCGTTTTCGACCGTTGCTTGTTGGCTGCGAATGCATTTTTTTTTTTTTTTTTTTGTTATTACTCTCCGTATTTTTCATTGTCTGTGTTCCAGCCCAGTTTCAGATTTGTAATATTTCCACAAGGTGTGCTTCTTTGTAATTGTGATGACTTTTCTTGCTTCACCAGCTCTGCGATCAATGCACTATTGATTTTCTAATGGCATTTGGATGGGGTTCGCCATTTTTTGGGATTCCTTATTGTTAAAGCTTGTTTTTATCTTGGAATTGGATTCCCTCATAGCGTTTGTGTGTGGGGTGCACTCACTTGCCTGTGTACCATAAGTTCCAAGCACCTTTTTGTGACTCATCCCCTGTGTGTTCTCTTATTACTCCATGTTCTATAAAATTGTCCAGTATTCGTCCGTCTTATCACATGCATTTTCTCCTTACTTGTTTCTCAAGTTTTGCTTGGTTACATTGTTGACTGACGTGCCTCAGTGGCTGACAGTTTGTGGCTCTTTATTCGGTCCAGCGACTTTCTCTGACGAGGGAGAGAAAATATAAAAATAAACGGTGACTTCTTCAAACGTACACAACCATTAGAGTGCAGCAAAAGTCTGCGTGCAAACGTTAACGTGTCCTTTTATTGTCTTTGTGTTTAATTGTCACCAGAGTGACTGTCAAGGCCAAAGTACATTTTCACGCGCAACACCTCCCCCAAGGGTTTATCTGTGAATGGTGCCAAGATCGCGGCACATGAAGGGCCAGTGGCGCCTCAAGCTGCGGCTACTTGTCTTTAATGGCTCGTCTACTTCTTGATGTGATGAATAATGACGAGACGTTTTAGTCCTGTCAACCATGAGTGCGAAAGTCACAGCTTTGACCTCTGCCAAGAAGTGCAGATGAGACGTGCTCCGGGTGAATGCAGATTTCATTCAGTGCGTTCAGTCTATTATCAGCGACTTGCGTTTCTTTGTCATTTACTGTCGAAGTCGAAATGCAACTTCATGAACAGCAATAAAATTAGTGGACTCTGAGCTGTTTTATTTGTCGGAAGAAAAATTGAATCGGCTGCAGTGGCGGCTCATAGAGAGATGTCCAGTGCCTTCGGGGCAAGTGGGACGCACGCACACACGCGCACACTCAAACATGAGAGGAAAATACTTCCTGTTCCTGTTCAACCTTGTCTCTGCTGAGCTGGTGGCATGCATACGATATCGTACAAACAGCAATGACCTTTTCCACAGCTTCATGAAATCTGACCGCCGAGGTCAGACCGGCGCCCTGAATATCTTAACACCCCCTCTACGTGCCGCTTTGGGGGTGAGCGGGCGCGGTGGGGGTTAATGCATCTCACCACCGCCTCAACTGCATCCAAATAGAACTTCATGGGCTTCTTTGTCAATAATGTTTGCTATAGCCAAACATTAACGGCTGTATTTTGACATTTGAGCTGTAGTGTTGCCTCAACAATATTTGCCGAAAGCCATGTCGTTTGTCTGAGTGATTAAACAGTTACGTACGTAAATATAAACATTTACAATGAGCAACTTTCAGTTGTTTCAATTGCTAGCCACAACGGCGCTAAAGACATTATCTTGGACAGTACAAAGCGCTGTGGTGTGGTCAAGATAGTATACCTCCAATATGTGAAAGATTTATTCTATCACTTGTCGCACATGTTTCTGATACGATGCTGTCTTCGTCCTCTTTCCAGGGCTTGGTGATAGAACGAATCGGGCGAAAACCTCTGCTCATATTTGGGTTCAGCGCCATGGCGGTGTTCTTCAGTCTACTCACAGTGTTCCTCAATTTTCAAGTAAGATTCTGCTCTAACTCAAACTCCTCCTCCTGTCATCTTGTCCCGGAACTCTCTTCTGTGGTATAGTAACATAGTGAATGAAAAAGAAAACGTTGGTTGAAAAGGGGAGTGCAAAACTCCCACTGAGTGGGAACAGATTCCCCCGCTGCGCGCACACAAGTCAGTGTCCCACTGTACCATCAGCCACTCACTCCATATCAGTGACTGCACAAAACGAAAGACAAGTCATAAAATAATGGAGAGTCATGAAAGTATTGCACTTTTTCTAATCTACTCTTTTATCCAGGGTTGAATTGTTAATCGTCTGAGTACCCTTTAAAGACACAAGTCCACCGGGGCACACGAATTAATCTTGAGGTCAAACTTGCACAGTTGTGACATTCGGAGCTGTGGTTATATATCCGCAAATAGATCACATTTCAGCAGTGTTAGATATGATCAACGGAACGGGAAAGGTGAAGGTAGACGTACTTCACTTGAAGAAGGATTGACACTTTGCTGCATTTACTCTTACAATGGCACCACCTTCCCTTTCTCTTCCTAGGACAGCGTGTCATGGATGCCTTACCTCAGTTATGTCTGCATCCTGGCAGTGATCGCTTCCTTCTGCTCCGGGCCAGGTATTACTTCTGTTTTATAGTCTCACCCCTTCTTATGCTTAAATGACCTTTTAAAAAAAATGTGCAGATTGTACTCCAGCTTCCCCGGTTATGTGGCAGCATGAGTTGACCAAGTCTGGATTAAAGCTTACTCAAAATGGAAAATGGAATGAGCTCCAGGCTCCATGTTTTCAAACTTTATACACACACACACACACACACACACACACACACACACACACACACACACGCTTGACATCCAAAGGTTTTCATGCATTGGATATGTGCTCTTCCTGGGAGCAGAGCGATTGTGTCTCGTGTTCTTTTCACAGCAGAGATTCACAGCACATTGGAACCAATGAAGCCCTCTACCGCTTGTGATTCTAATGTTCACACAAGGGATGATCCCGATTGTGCCTTGAGCTTTTGAACAGATGAAGGATGAGCCACAATCGTTATGAAGTCAACCAAACACACAAAGAACGAACAGAAAAGAGCGTTGGTTTCATCTGAACTCGTCTTTGATCCAAATTTAGTATTCCATCCTGAGCTGCATTTGCAGCTTGTTTGACATTTGTTTTTGTCACCTATTCATACATAAAATGGAGTCGACCCGGGAGATTAGAGTTTCAATAAGGCTTAGATCAGCGGCTGTAAACACGTTTCTCCCCTCTGTGGATAAGGCATCTCATAAATGCGCGTATATTACATCATTAAAGCAAAAGTCAAATAAAAAGAAATCTTGGCAATATGTTCTGTGCCTCCACTAGCTTTAACACGTTGTCACCACTAATTAATATTGCATGCGTGGATGGTTGATGATAAACAAACAGTATGAAGAGATTTTCTCCTCATGACATTTACGTTTTTGCTGCAATTTTTTTTTTTTTTTTATTCACGTCCAAACGTATGGCCTGACTGGAGATTCAGCAGCCACCGAATTCAACTTTAAACCTCCCTATAAACCTCAATATTTGGCCTATGACGATAGAAATTGCGTTAAAAAGTTTGCGAGTAGGTTTTATTCCCGTCGATGCATTTCTACACGGCACTTTGATGAAGTGTGTGTCATTCCATTGTTAGTGTTCCCTCGGTGACTGCGGTTGAGGGTCCAGTTTGAGGGGGGCTAGTTAATTGGGTCCTCTCACTGCTGGGGGCTCTTTGTGAGACTTGTGGTATCGGCCCTCCCAGCTAGTCATTTGTTCAGCTGTCTCTATGGTGACAGCTAAGAAAAAAAATGGTTGATAAATGTTTTAGGGAATGGGTGTAGCTCTTGGTGCACTATGATACAATTCATGTATCCCCCTTCTCTGGTTGTCGCGTACACACGGGACAAATTTTGTGTTTTTATTTTATTTTTTTAAGTGACAGTTTTTATACCTTGACTTTTTGCCTTTGATTTTGCAAGACATACTGTGCGTCTTCATCTCCAAATTGAGCAGGCCGCAATGCTTTCTGCACACCTGCAGCATGATCTCCCTCCATATCGTGCTTACTTTTTGCTGCCTTTTGGCCGCGTTTGTTTTGCTCTTTGAATTCAATTTTAATATTCGTTCGCTCGATGCTCCTTCTCCATTCTAGACTTTCCGGCATTGACATAATCACAATTATGATAATTCATTTTCTATTGCGCATCTAAGAGGTGGTTGGGTGTCATCAACACACTGCTAGAACACCAATGTTCTTGTCCAAATGTATGCAGATCTATTCAGTAGAATGAGTTCTCGGGTGGCCCAGTTATCTTCGTTTGCTAAAGATCACGTTTCGGTGCAATCCCACTTGTGAACAAATAGAGTTGGTCATATATGCTGGGATGCATTTCCAGCATTATAGAAATATGCTTCATTTTTCAGGGAAATCATGGCGAGTTACAAAAATAATGAAGCAATGTTATTCGTACCATTTATTTAATCAAAAGGTTCACATACTAGTTCATGTTGTGGTGAGTAAAAAAATACACCCACCCACAGACGTAAATACATATATATAATGTCAGATATTTACATGATTTATCAATAGTTTCACAAGGACTTGTTTAAGCAACCCCAAGACTACACGAAAGATGGTACTAGTGTATATGCAAAAGTAAATGAACCCCCAGTTGCATCGGTGAAGTCAAGACGGTCAAGTGACCAACATTTGTGCGCTTATTTCACATCATTTAAGCACACGGATGAGATGAGACATCCTTGGGTAAGGATTTGGCGTGTGCTAATTAAAAGAGAGCTGAACGAAACCAAACCCACTGTGGTTCCATGCAAATCAACGATGCCAGGAGCTACCCGAGCACAAGAATAAGAGATTATTGACAGGCCCGTCGTCTGGGGTGGGCTAGGACACCGTTTTCAAACGATTCCGGCTCCTTGCATGCATGGTGATATGAATCGTGTCAGCTGGGATGGTAGCCGTGACCCTCAGTGGGAGAAGCAGTTCCGAAAATGGATAAGTGGCCACCTGATTTGAAGCCGTCCGAGTAATCATCCACTTGCAGTTTTTCAATAAATGCAAAGCCTTTGAAAGCCGCTTCCTCGATTGTCCCGCACTGCACAGCTTGTGAATGTGAATGTCCTCGCCGTCTTATCAGGACATTGTGTTGCCAGTTTTACCCCACATATCAGCACGTCAATGAATATCCAAGTACAAATGTTTTTATTTTGCCCAATAGTGGTTGGGGATTTATTTCATATGCTGGTTATTACAAGATCTTGGGCAACTGAACAGTCGTAGCTTTTGTATCACAAATAGTCGGTAAACATGAATGAAAATTTATTCATGAAATCCTTGCATCAGTAACTGTTTTCAAAGAGAAGATAAATCAGTCATATGAAGTAATCCCAGATGTCACAAAAGGCTGTTTAACTGAGGTGCGAGCAGCTGAAGAAAAAAAAAAAAAAAGCGAGACGGAACTTGAAAGCTCTTCCCTGCTGAATATCCACAAAGACAATCATTTGGTTGTGATTACTTTTGAAGCGTCCGTAGCTGTCGTAAGACATATGCGTTTATGAGTACACAGGACCCTATTATTGGTGGGGGACAGGGACCGTGGCGTGCTGCAAATAGTGAAAATAAGTACAGAATTGATGCCCACCGAAATGCACTGGGGGGGATGTGTTTTGTTTTTTTCAAAACAATGATCAAACATCCATCCATCCATCCGTCCATTTTCTAATCCGCTTCTCCTCACGAAGGTCGCAGGCATACTGGAGTCTGTCCCAGCTGTCTTCAGGCAGTCGGCGGGTTGCCAGCCAATCGCAGAGCACACATAGACAAACAACCAACCATGCTCACACTCACACCTTGGGACATTTTCGAGTGATCCATTGACCTGCCACGCGTGTATGATTCTGAAACTCACAAAACATAGTCACAGAAGGATACCGCAGCCAAAGCTGCTTGGGGATTGCTTTTAGACGTGACAGATACATACGGTCGGTCTTTGTGGTACTAAGTACACATGAAAGAATTCCCATGTTTTATTCACGTGCATGAACAAAATAAAATGAAATGCTAGGTTTCGTATAATTTACCAAGGAGAAGTCTTCTTTGGCTCCTGCCATTTCTATTTTCAAACACTTTGTGTCATCAGGCTTTCACAAGAGATGAATTGCTATTTTGCCCCGCACTCATGCGAGCTCATTCAGACAATTTATGGGCATTTAGAGTGAAGGTCACTTCCGAGGTGTCACTTTAATTCCAATTCGAGAGTGACTGCAGGCTCTTTGTTCTCCACAAACGCTCTCCGCAATACTGACCCAGACATCCGTAGGCTTATTGTCACAAGATTTTTATTTTTTTTTTAAGAGAGACCATTGGCCGTATTTAACCACCAAATAAATAACCACCGTTCAGGTTATTTGCCCCCTGGAGCTTCGAGGCTGTTCTTTTTCTTAAACGGTCCAAATGCCCTATCATCAACCATATTCATTGTTTCCACTGACTGATATGTAATATCGTTTCTAATCAGCCCCTATCTTATCAAGGCCTGCCAAGCCTCGAGGCTCTTGGAAAAACTCTGTGCCTTTAGACCCAGTGGGTCGCTTCTATTTCGAGTCAGACTCTGCAGCTTTCCGTTTTCAACCCTTTGTCTTCTGACTGAATATTCCACCGAGAGGGTAGTTTTTAGTAGTTTGCAGGAAAAGGAAGATGGCGTAAAAAAAGGGGGGGGGGGGCTTTGGAGAGTTCGTTCGTAATGACACGAAAGTCCTCGCCATGTGAAATTCAACACCGATTCAAATGCGCTCTATTTTGATAGCTTGACAATTATTTCAGCACGCAGAAAAATGTCTCCCCTCTCAATGTCCTCTTGCCATGTTATTTCAAGCTTTCTGCCACGCTAAAATATTTTCTTCCCGACACCCATCTGCTAGGTTCGCGAGGCACCGGGTGAAGGTGTTAGACACTAGACCCGATCCCGACTCGGGAGTGCATTGGTACACTCAAGCGTATACTCGAGCTCCCTGAGAGAAACATTCTGGCGGTGTCTGTGACCTTCCTTTCCAAATCCCAGTTGAGTGTCCGCAAGGCTCTGAAATGATGAACACTGGTGCGGAATCTGGCGCATTCATTTCACATTTCCTGAAGCATGAGCCTGTTCTGTCATCCTTGGAGCCAAACTTCTTGGCCAAATGAGAGCCATTCCATTTTTTTAAAATTCTTTCTCCCTTTTTTTTTTTGTTCCCTCTTAAGACAATAACTGTTTTCTCAACAGCTAGTTACGCGCAAGGGTCTAACTTTCTACCTCCAAGTATCGTTGGGTGTTATCACTTGAGCTTTCTGCGGAGGGTTGGGGTCTCTGTTAAATCCCAAAGTTTCGACTGGACTTAGTTGTGTTTATCTCTCTGGGGATGATGATGATGATTAACAGCCTGAGGCATTTGATGGCTATCAATGGAAAGCTGACGAAAGTTGAAACCAGGTAAAGTTTTCCTTATCATGAGCAATAAATCAATGGCAAGAATGGTTCTGGCGCCTCGTGAAAATACCCCTGAGGTTTGCATATCATCAGCTGTCATTTACTATTTTGTAACACAACCACCTTTGAGGATTTTTTTTTTTTTAACCAGATAAATATTTGACAGCTGATCAGCCTGGTTGTTCCTGGCCATTCATTGTAAATCTGTTGGGATAGACTTCAGCCTACAAGTGATCTTGAACAAAAACACACACTATAGATACTGAATAGATTGCATTTTTATCAGAGAAATAAATCGCAATAAGTTGTTTTTCATGCGCATTCTTACTGGACACTAAACATGATCTCCACCATTTTTATTTTTATTTTTTTTAATTTATCAACCTGCCGCTCCTTGTAAAGATAGACAGATAAAACGCAATCCAGATAAGAAACAAGTGATGGTTGCGTTACCATCTTGGTGATAAAAAAATGCTTCTTCCCGTTAAATAGAGAGGCACTCCACCAGTGAGGTTCAAGTTTAACAGCACAGTATTTGATGGTGTGATTGAACAAACACTGTTCAAAAATGTAAAGCGCGTGCCAAGCCAATCTGTCATACTCAAGCACCACTGGTGAAGGCAGTTGGCTCACGTTAGCAGCTTGTTCTTTGCAGCAAGAGTGTGCACGGTTCAGATAAACATTTCCTGAAAGCTGCCCATTGATTGGATCCCCACCGAGTGAACAGAAACAAGTTTTAGGCCATATGTTCACCTTCTGGTGCAGTTTGTCTACTTTGTACAAAGTCATTTGGAGTTTTTCAAACACTCGAGTGGTATATTTTGCAGTAGTTTATAAAATGTGAGAGCTCACCTATGACCCTGCACAAATAAAATAGCAGGAGCAAATGACAGGATGGATGGACACTGTCGTTGACAACAAACTTTCATGAGGCGTCACTTTCTTAACATCACTAAATTCGGAGTGTCTTCCCTGTAGAGGCACTTTTTCCAGACCTTTAGCAGAGCAAGCTTGAGCTGCTGCTTGTTTGTCGGCCTTGCACTCAGGTCCTTCAATTAAAATCATTCACTTGTCAGCCACCCCAAGTCACCTCAGGTGCGCTCTGACCTGCCTTTCCTCTTCATGACATATCTGACTCCCATCAGGATTCTCTCCCACAAATTCAACATCCATTTAAACACCCATGCAGATGACCCCCAGCTAGACCTCTCCAGTTAGCCCGAATCCCCTTTTCAACTTTGCAGAATGCCTCCCTGAACTCCAAATCTGGTTTAGTACAAACTTCCTCAAACTCAATTGCGACAAAAATCAAGTGTTCCTCTACACTTGCCAAAGCGTATAGTTTCCCCATTACCTTTGACGATTCCACCGTTTCCCCCCTCTGAGTCTGGGTGTCATCACTGACAGCACCCCCATCAAATCAAGCTCACACAAACTGCATCGCAGTTTCCATATCCGCAATATTTAGTCACCTTCGCTCATGCATCATTCTCTGTTCTCCATCCATCCATCCATTTTCTGATCCGCTTTATCCTCACAAGGGTCGCTGCAGCCTATCCCAGCTGTCTTTGGGTAGTAGGCGGGGTACACCCTGAACCGGTTGCCAGCCAATCACAGGGCACACAGAGACGCACAACCATCCGCGCTCACACTCGCACCGAAGGACAATTTTGAGTGTTCAATCAGCCTGCCATGCATGTTTTTGGAATGTGGGAGGAAACCGGAGTGCCTGGAGAAAACTTCCGCCTTTGGCTTACCTCTGGATAGAAAAATCGAAGCAATTAAAGTTTGTTTGCGAGTGACTCAGTGGGCTGTTAAGAAACAGAAGATTAAAAAAATAATCAGGAGAAACGGGTTCACGAACACGGTTCAACAAAGTAAATTTGCGCCGCACATTTAAATTGAGCCCCGGTGTTCTCTATTAGTTCTGCTAATGGGATGAGGACTCGAGTGTGATCATTTTGCCTTGTTTACATTCACCAGCAGTTAACCAGAGTGGGAGAGAACAGAATTGACTTGTCACTTTCCCCTTTTTACTTCAGTGCGGTCAGCTCGGTTGATAACCGGTGACGTTCTCCTCTTCTTTGATAGGAGGCATCCCCTTTATCCTGACCGGTGAACTGTTTGAGCAGTCCTACAGGCCTGCCGCCTTCATGATTGCCGGCATTGTGAACTGGCTGTCCAACTTTGCAGTGGGACTCTTGTTTCCTTTTATACAGGTAAGTCCATACTTGGTGAAGAAGTATCTATTTTAGTGTATCAGTGCTGATGAAAGAAATTATACTCTCTTAAACAGAAGTGGAATGTGTTCCTAGCATATCCTTAGTTCTTATTAGCCCATTTATCATCGACTCCTTGCAGTCTTTCGGGATACTTTTGGAAGATGCGCATTACTTTCTCAGGTGTTAAAACGGCCCATTCTTCTTGGTGAAAAGATTCCAGTTCCTGTAAATTCTTGGGCTGTTTTACATGAACTGCACGTTTCAGATCTCCCCGGATTGGCTCAATGATAATGAGGTCAACAGAATGTGATGGCCACATAAGATCTTTTACTTTTCTCCGCTGTAGACACTGAAGGGTCAACCTGGTCTCGTTTTCTAATTTTCAAAGTTCACCCAGCTTTCCTCTGAGGACCTTTAACAGACCTTTGACTCAGTATCCCGCAAAGTCACTGTGCTCCTGGGGAAAATGTGCATGGGTCTCTCAAAAGCTTAAAACACTCTCACAGGCGCACGCATACTATCAGGCTGTAAATCGGTTTCTCCTTCCACCTTCCAAGGACTGTGCGCCTCTGGTACGTTCATTTTAAAGAGCATGAAAGGTGCCGCTTCGATTGGACACCAATCTAGTTGGCTGTGTTCATGCCCACAACGGCGCAAAATACTGAAATGCATTCATTCGCCGGTAAACCGAGCCGAGCGGGTGAAAATACCAAAGCAAAGTCCAGCTCCCCCCAATAAATATTTCGACAGCGCCTCATGCCAGACTTGCGCTGGTCATGAAAATAAAGCCATTGTGTGATTCTTTTTGTTTTATGCTCTGTAGAATTGTTCTATTATATCCCAAACCGCTGCTTGTTGTGTCGTGAGTTGAATTGAGTTTACTGCCACCGTACAGTGCTTGCCTCTCAAGTCAAAAACAAAAATTGTCCCAACAAAGACTCTCGAAAAGTATCTTAAGTCGGGTCAGGTCATGTCATATCCCAAGAGGCACCACTAGACAGGCATAGTGCGTATGAATGGAGTACTGCACTTAGGCAGGGAAAGCAGCCTAATAATTCGGGTGCCTTCATTTTGATGTTTGCTTGTTGTTGTTCAAGAGGTTGAATTTCTGAGATGTAACGATTCAAATCATGACTACTAGAAGGGGAAGTGCCTTGACAAAAATCAGTTCTACTTTATTTTCAGTCTGAGTGAAAGTTGTGCCAAATGAAAGTCAAGTCTTGTCTGCCTTTGTCCTCTGTTGCACCCGCAGAACCTAAATTTAGCCTTCAAGTCAGACGTAGCACCGTGTCATCCTTTGACTTATAAATCAAGCGCCTAACACTCTCCAGTAACACCAGTGAACACACGTGGCAATTCTTTCCTGAATATGCATCACTCGCGTTAAAAAAGAAAAAACGGAATTAAAAAATGGATAACGTTAAAATATGTGTTAGGCGAGAAATATGTCCAATTGGAATGAGGTTTGGCCACTACTTTGGCTCCTGAAAAAATATATTTGATTTGCCTCAATGATGATATTTGATTTGCCATAATTCATCTGTAACTTGACAAACATTTCCTCCACCAATTGCGCATCTTTTGGCTCCAGGTGAGCCAAAGGGACAGCTTTACCTTTCAAAATCCATCTTGCTTATTCTCTCAGCAGTACACGAGAGACTCTTCTGGCATCCAGACTTGCACGTGGCCCCCCGTGGCATCACTGTGATCGCACCGTAATTGCCATTCCATATGTTACACTTTGCATCACAAGCTTCCAGTCAGCACACTTTCATGTCTGTGTTAGTCGCCGATAGGTGGACCACAAAGAAAAGCGACGTCATGTGATGATAACAATGCAGGACGCTTCATTTTGATGGGTGCTTGCTGGAATGTTGACAACTGACATCAAGTGGAAAAAAGGAATACAATGGAGATGAGTGTGCAATTACAGAATAAATACATCAACGCAGTTAATTGCACCAAGGGACAAGCGTGAGAGAAAACGTGACTGAGGTGAGAAATTGCTTTCAGCGTGAGGGAGCGGTACAGGTCGATTACAGTTTGTCAAATTTTGCATTGTCAGACACACGGGTCGCATCTGAAAAGAAGTCTGACCTCTGGTGTGACACTTGCACCTCCCTTCATCAGCACATTTTTTTTCCATCTCTATAAAAGTAAAGGGCTCAACTTGCACTTGAACAGAAACCGATAAAGTGGCTTCTATTGTCTTTGAATTCTCAACAGACCACGGCAAGCATTATTATACTGGAAAGTTGCATTATCAAAATAGCCAAAGGTTAACAGAGAATCACCTTGCAACAGAGGCTAAGATAAACCCTAAGACCTTTCTCTTTGTATCTGGAGGATTGCTAAGTAATATATGTACAGTACCTCCATCCATCCATCCATCCATCCATTTTCTGATCCGCTTTATCCTCACAAGGGTCGCGGGGGGTGCTGCAGCCTATCCTAGCTGTCTTCGGGCAGTAGGCGGAGGACACCCTAAACGGGTTGCCAGCCAATCGCAAGGCACACAGAGACGAACAACCATCCGCGCTCACACTCACACCTCGGGACAATTTAGAGTGTTCAATCAGACTGCCATGCATGTTTTTGGAATGTGGGAGGAACCCGGAGTACCCGGAGAAAACCCACGCAGGCACGGGCAGAACATGTGAATTCAACACAGGACGGCCGGAGCCGGAATCGAACCCTGCACTTCCACACTGTGAGGTCGACGTGCTAACCAGTCGTCCACCAGGCTGCTCAGGTGGAAGACATGTTATTTCATAACTATGGCTGTCCATTTCAATGAGCCTTTTTTTTTTTTTAAGCAAACGAAACGTGCAGCCGGTTGCCATTTTTACACTGTATGTATGTAGACTGAAAAATTGTGTCGAATTTTCTCCCTTTCATTTCGTCAAGTGGTTTCACAAAATGAGATCCTCTGGATACAGATTTTTTTTTTATTTTTAAGTAGGCCACTACTCTGCTTGACAAAAAATCAGCGAGAATCCAGATGCTTTTATTTCATGCAACCACTTGATGAAAGAAAAAAAAAAAAACAACACTCAGACACCTCTTCAGAGAGAACATGCACAGAGGCCAACAAGACAACGTCCCAGTGCTCATGTTCTCGTGCTACAAAAAACAAACAGATCCCAATTGGCTGTGCTCACATCACTGTTGTTACAAAGCTGCCAGATGTGCGTGCCAGCAGCTTTCAGGTCAGGGGAAGAAAAAAAGAGTGTGATGAGAGTCCACATGGCTCCCGAAACAATGTTTGGATTGTCTTGTGAATAGACACATTGATCGGCATCCCTTCTGGTGAGTTATTTGCTGGAGATTAGATCCATGTGTACAGAACACGGGGTCCCAGTTCATCCATCCCATATCCGTGGATCATCGAGCTTTGCGAGTTTGATATTCCACGGATGAATGGCACACGTTTAATTTGCAGATCCTGCAATGAACTCAATTAAATGACTGAGTCACAATTACAACGTGAGCTATGAACAAGCGCAATTAGTGTGTTGCACGAGTGCGCAATCATTAGCCCTCATACTCAATATAGCTATTTGCGTCCGCGTCCCTTATGATTGTGCTGCGTGAGCTATGATCCATAACTGTACTTCACAGCGACTGTGTGTCTCCCAATTATCCGGCTGTGACGATGTGACAGAAACGCAATAATCCATAAAACCTCCTAAACAGCCCAGTGCGATATTTGCGGTGATGCCGCTGTCATCTGTTGTACGCTTTTCCCCACCGCAGGCGCTGTCCTTCAATAGGCTTCCACTGGGACGCAGCAAACCTATAAAACCCCTCTCACACATGCATTTAATCCCCTGCAGTGACAGCCTACACCCTCAGCCACAGATTATGACTAAGTGCTGCCCCAGAAACCAAATAGTTGGACTGCCCGCTATGGGCATGTGGAGGAGCAAATATGTTTTCGCAGACCACCTCACCTTCTTTGTGTTCTCTGTTCTATCTGTCAAGTTTCTTCTCGTTCTGTCCCTCCTTGGACGTGCTGTCCTAGACAGTCGAGTTCCATTCCCCCCCTCACTGTGCTCTGCAGTTCTATGAGCTGTCCCTTATGGACGGCTCTTTGCGTTCACACACAGATGGGTCTGTAGCTTATTGTTTGCGTGCGCATCGAGGCGACCCCGGATGAGCTTCTGCTGCACTCGCTCGTCTGTATCCGATATGGTGACAGGGTTAAACACAGACGGCGTGGGGGCAAGGGTGTCCTGTTTGAAGATGACTCACCGCCCACAACAGCTGGGAGAGAGAGGCAGCGTTTTGCTTTTGTTTTTTTGTGGGGGGGGTTTTCATCTAACTTTGCAGATGAGCATTACATCATAGAGACCGCATGAAAAGTGGGTCAGGCCCTTTGCACGGTGTTGTTTTTTCGGCGCTCTTATGAAATTCGCTCAACATGGGGAAAACTGTGTCAGCCGGAGTGATATAACAGCTCCAACGGTAAGTTGTTCTTCTGTTCGGCCACGCGTGGCTATTTTGGACTGGCTATTAGTTTGAGCAGGTGCGTGCATCGTTCTGCAATTATGTTGTGTCCTTCACTCTGGCGCTCAGGGTCAGGCTAACACGCACAAGCAACTCTTGTTCATCATAAATTCTCGCTGTGAGTAATCAGTGTGTAAAGGATGGATTTAATTTCTGAGTGGATTTATCACCAGCCTGATATAGGGACGGTTAATTGTGTAAGGGTCAAGTTTGTTAACTAATTAGATGGCTGTAACCTGTAAATACCCGTTGGTGATTGTTTGAATGGCAATGGGAAAATATGATGGCATTTGTCCTGCGCTTTCTTTTCTGTTTTTGTGTAGGAGGCCCTGGAGACATTTGCCTTCCTGGTGTTTGTGGGCTTCTGTGTGGTGGCGGCAATCTATCTCTTTATCATCCTCCCTGAAACCAAAAAGAAAACGTTCATGGACATTAGCCAGAGTTTTGCCAAGATCAACAAAGTCCCGGTTTCCTCGACGAGCCATGAAATGAAGCTCGTTCTGTGTACCGGGCAGGATCAGAACGAGAAAGTGCAAAATGGCTTTAAGATGGAGAGTTCCTTTTAAATCAACCGATAAAGTGGCTTCTATTGGCTTTGAATTCTCAACAGACCACGGCAAGCATTATTATACTGGAAAGTTGCATTATCAAAATAGCCAAAGGTTAACAGAGAATCACCTTGCAACAGAGGCTAAGATAAACCCTAAGACCTTTCTCTTTGTATCTGGAGGATTGCTAAGTAATATATGTACAGTACCTCCATCCATCCATCCATCCATCCATTTTCTGATCCGCTTTATCCTCACAAGGGTCGCGGGGGGTGCTGCAGCCTATCCTAGCTGTCTTCGGGCAGTAGGCGGAGGACACCCTAAACGGGTTGCCAGCCAATCGCAAGGCACACAGAGACGAACAACCATCCGCGCTCACACTCACACCTCGGGACAATTTAGAGTGTTCAATCAGACTGCCATGCATGTTTTTGGAATGTGGGAGGAACCCGGAGTACCCGGAGAAAACCCACGCAGGCACGGGCAGAACATGTGAATTCAACACAGGACGGCCGGAGCCGGAATCGAACCCTGCACTTCCACACTGTGAGGTCGACGTGCTAACCAGTCGTCCACCAGGCTGCTCAGGTGGAAGACATGTTATTTCATAACTATGGCTGTCCATTTCAATGAGCCTTTTTTTTTTTTTAAGCAAACGAAACGTGCAGCCGGTTGCCATTTTTACACTGTATGTATGTAGACTGAAAAATTGTGTCGAATTTTCTCCCTTTCATTTCGTCAAGTGGTTTCACAAAATGAGATCCTCTGGATACAGATTTTTTTTTTATTTTTAAGTAGGCCACTACTCTGCTTGACAAAAAATCAGCGAGAATCCAGATGCTTTTATTTCATGCAACCACTTGATGAAAGAAAAAAAAAAAAACAACACTCAGACACCTCTTCAGAGAGAACATGCACAGAGGCCAACAAGACAACGTCCCAGTGCTCATGTTCTCGTGCTACAAAAAACAAACAGATCCCAATTGGCTGTGCTCACATCACTGTTGTTACAAAGCTGCCAGATGTGCGTGCCAGCAGCTTTCAGGTCAGGGGAAGAAAAAAAGAGTGTGATGAGAGTCCACATGGCTCCCGAAACAATGTTTGGATTGTCTTGTGAATAGACACATTGATCGGCATCCCTTCTGGTGAGTTATTTGCTGGAGATTAGATCCATGTGTACAGAACACGGGGTCCCAGTTCATCCATCCCATATCCGTGGATCATCGAGCTTTGCGAGTTTGATATTCCACGGATGAATGGCACACGTTTAATTTGCAGATCCTGCAATGAACTCAATTAAATGACTGAGTCACAATTACAACGTGAGCTATGAACAAGCGCAATTAGTGTGTTGCACGAGTGCGCAATCATTAGCCCTCATACTCAATATAGCTATTTGCGTCCGCGTCCCTTATGATTGTGCTGCGTGAGCTATGATCCATAACTGTACTTCACAGCGACTGTGTGTCTCCCAATTATCCGGCTGTGACGATGTGACAGAAACGCAATAATCCATAAAACCTCCTAAACAGCCCAGTGCGATATTTGCGGTGATGCCGCTGTCATCTGTTGTACGCTTTTCCCCACCGCAGGCGCTGTCCTTCAATAGGCTTCCACTGGGACGCAGCAAACCTATAAAACCCCTCTCACACATGCATTTAATCCCCTGCAGTGACAGCCTACACCCTCAGCCACAGATTATGACTAAGTGCTGCCCCAGAAACCAAATAGTTGGACTGCCCGCTATGGGCATGTGGAGGAGCAAATATGTTTTCGCAGACCACCTCACCTTCTTTGTGTTCTCTGTTCTATCTGTCAAGTTTCTTCTCGTTCTGTCCCTCCTTGGACGTGCTGTCCTAGACAGTCGAGTTCCATTCCCCCCCTCACTGTGCTCTGCAGTTCTATGAGCTGTCCCTTATGGACGGCTCTTTGCGTTCACACACAGATGGGTCTGTAGCTTATTGTTTGCGTGCGCATCGAGGCGACCCCGGATGAGCTTCTGCTGCACTCGCTCGTCTGTATCCGATATGGTGACAGGGTTAAACACAGACGGCGTGGGGGCAAGGGTGTCCTGTTTGAAGATGACTCACCGCCCACAACAGCTGGGAGAGAGAGGCAGCGTTTTGCTTTTGTTTTTTTGTGGGGGGGGTTTTCATCTAACTTTGCAGATGAGCATTACATCATAGAGACCGCATGAAAAGTGGGTCAGGCCCTTTGCACGGTGTTGTTTTTTCGGCGCTCTTATGAAATTCGCTCAACATGGGGAAAACTGTGTCAGCCGGAGTGATATAACAGCTCCAACGGTAAGTTGTTCTTCTGTTCGGCCACGCGTGGCTATTTTGGACTGGCTATTAGTTTGAGCAGGTGCGTGCATCGTTCTGCAATTATGTTGTGTCCTTCACTCTGGCGCTCAGGGTCAGGCTAACACGCACAAGCAACTCTTGTTCATCATAAATTCTCGCTGTGAGTAATCAGTGTGTAAAGGATGGATTTAATTTCTGAGTGGATTTATCACCAGCCTGATATAGGGACGGTTAATTGTGTAAGGGTCAAGTTTGTTAACTAATTAGATGGCTGTAACCTGTAAATACCCGTTGGTGATTGTTTGAATGGCAATGGGAAAATATGATGGCATTTGTCCTGCGCTTTCTTTTCTGTTTTTGTGTAGGAGGCCCTGGAGACATTTGCCTTCCTGGTGTTTGTGGGCTTCTGTGTGGTGGCGGCAATCTATCTCTTTATCATCCTCCCTGAAACCAAAAAGAAAACGTTCATGGACATTAGCCAGAGTTTTGCCAAGATCAACAAAGTCCCGGTTTCCTCGACGAGCCATGAAATGAAGCTCGTTCTGTGTACCGGGCAGGATCAGAACGAGAAAGTGCAAAATGGCTTTAAGATGGAGAGTTCCTTTTAAATCTAAATCTTGTTTTGAGGCAACATTAAGATTCACAATAACATTGTTTTTATTGTTGGGTTTTTTTCCTGCATTTAATCTTGGAAGAAAGAAATGTGTCACACTAAATGAAATGTTTCATAGACTTTGTACATTTTTTTCTGAGCTTTAACGAAAATAATTTTTTCTTGCCATTCTGTCCGAGTTTTTCCTACTAGTTCAGTGACCACTGTGAAGTGTGTGTGTGTGTGTGTGTGTGTGTGTGTGTGTGTGTGTGTGTGTGTGTGTGTGTGTGGTGTGTGTGTGTGTGTGTGTGTGTGTGTGTGTGTGTGCGTGTGTGTGTGTGTGTGTGTGTGCGAGTGTGTGTGTGTGTGTGTGTGTGTGTGCGTGTGTGTGTGTGTGTGTGTCCGAGTGTGTGTGTGTGTGTGCGTGTGTGTATATTAGTATCAAACCACCACTGGTTTTCAAGGTTTATGCCACCCTAAATTAAAGGCATTTATAATTACCAAAATTATCTTTCTGTTTCTGTCATGGATATGTACACCAGTACAGCCCCTTCATTGAAATTACATATTTAATACTACAATGCCAAACTATGAATTCCAAAACAGACTTTTATACTGAACAATGAAATCAAAATTTCGAATTTGTAAAATAGCAAAACATATTTGATTATTTATGCTACAATTTATTTTTATTTTTATTCATTGACTTTTTTTTGTTTTGTTTTGATTTTTGCAGTCCTACACAAAAAAAAAATAGTATTTGTATCCATCCATTTTCTGTAATGCACACCAAGACCAACAACCTGTTTACTCATACATTCTTTGGCTAATTGAACGCGCGCGCGCGCTAGCCAAGAGGCTACCACACTACCTCGCCTAACAGAATGAACGCTATTGTTGTTTCTGACTTCCCGGAGAATAAATAAGTGAATTAGCATTCTAATTTCATATTCTTATTTAGAATGTTAAAAGGAAATCTCACACAAAATGAGAGTTTCCACATGAAGGCATTGAAATGGTGAATGGGGGGAAATGGATGGTTGCCAAAGGCAATGAATTACAGTTTAGCAGCTTTGACATACTGGTGTACATATGGCTAGCTAGCTGTGCCATGAGTTTTGGTTGGTGGTCATCTGGTGTGTGACGCTGGAAAATATGAATGAGGGCAGTAAAAAAAAAAAAAAATAGAAAGAGAGAGAGAGAGTGTTCTGACAGGCACAGTTGCGGTGCTTCTAAAACCCAAAAGGTGATTTTGCCACCTGGTGTGAGCTGATCGAGGAAGTGATTTGGTCGGAAGCAGACAAGCGTGGAATTGGGAAGCGAATACAGGTTGCCCTCAGTAGGATAGGATGGCTTCAGTATTTATGAACGTACTCGCTGTGAGGTTAAAACATATCTCCATACGCACACAGACGGCCTTGTGTGTCCGCAGTTGAAAGGATTTTAAACGCTGCTCGTTTAAAGGTGTTTTAGTTCCATCCTCACTGTTGTCATTGATCATGATCAATGTTTTATTGCTTATTATTTAGTGTTGTTTTACTTGCCCAATTTTTATTTTGTCAACTAAATAAATGTATTTTCTTTTCTTGCTTGCCTGGAGTTGTGATTTACGGTTCTTGCTCATACCGCAGACGCATGTTCTGTTGAAATAGGACGTCAGTTTGAAAACAAACAAGCAGGCTTTCCAACAGTAGAGAATTTGAGTACATGAATCATAATTTCAACAGAAAAATAATTTACAGGGGCCCTCTGCAAATATGCAAAGTATAGAAAATGGAAACAATTGCAACCTAACAGTCAGATTTTCTGATCACATCATGTGTGGTACGCTAAGCACAAAAAATTCCGAGAAGGATGAAAGGAATGCGAAGAAAACAACATCGGCGATGAAAATGCGAGACACTTCCTCGCACAAGAATTGATCAAAACAAACTCAACCCTTGACCGAGTTGAATCATAGCCTGCAACCATTTTAGGCCACCGTCCAGTCAATTAAAACCGGCAGAGATTACAGCGTTGCCAGCCTGACAGCTTGTGCCACATATTAATACACTGATTATTTTCGTTGCCAGGCAACCGTGCCTAAAAACGGGATAACGCCCTTCAAGGTGGCAACCCCCCGCCCCTCCCCCTCACTGCCCATCTCTATCACCCGTCTTAAAACTCATTTTTATTATTTGGCTTTTGACTCGGCATGAGACTTGATTTTTATTTTTTTGGTAGCCATTGATAAATGCAATTTTAACTGAAATGGAATGAAGTCCCCGAAAGTAAAAGTGAAAGTCTTGTTAAGTTGAGACATCTCAGAGACGCGGGGGTTTTTTGTTTTGTTTTTGTTTTGTTTTTTTTAATAAACCTGCCAAAAATGACTGATACATTTATAACATGAGGCTTTGTAAAAAATCTTGAAAAAGCTAGCCGTTCTCTGGATGTGCTGAAACCCATCAATCAGATGCTACTTCTACACCTGGAAAAAGGGCTGGAATGTATCCCGCCGGGTTGTCTCAAAGCTTTTCCATGCCGTGACAACTAGGCGCTCTAAAGTAACGTTATTTTTACTTTCCTCTTCCGCCTTCTTTCCGAGACATGTGCGCACACTCTGGTTGTCAAGTGGGACTTAAAATAAATAAATAAATAAATAAATCCCTTCATCACTATACCTGTAATGCCTTTCACACATGGTCAACAACAAGGCGCTCTAAAGCAGCCACACTAGCTGACTTTCTGAAGGGAATCTGCATTTCCAGTTTTTCCTGACTTGCAGTAGCGTACATGATGCAGTATGTCACAACTCAATCGGATGAATCTTAATGCGCCAATCAGCAGCGCTATACTTTTAAAACCGCAGGTGAAGTTTTCTTCTTCAGAGATGAGATTGACCTCTTATGGTTTGAGAAATGTCACCAATGTGCCACCTCTCACCACTGCATTAGCGGGGGTTCGGACTCTAATGAGCCGCTCCGGCTGGTGGGCATGTTGCTGCTGGGTCAAGACCACAGTGACGCAGTGATTAACTGTGTAGCCGCATCTCTGCACCGTTCAACCAAGACTCAGAGGGCATAGAGGGTCTGCTGCACACAATCATCACAGAGTAAGATTTTCAATTATGTGCTTTAAATTGTGTTCCACAATCTATCCAAGATGGCGGCGACGTGAGTTTTATGTTGAGTGTGTGAGTGTGTCACCTCATCTGGTCTGTGCTTTACTGATTTTGTCTTTGATGTCTGGTTTCCAATTTAAACGTAACAAGCGGTACTCTGCAAAAAAAAAAAGGGATCTGTTCGCTTTATATCCTTATAGATTGCTACCTAAGGGATCAAGTATATGTTTGAGTGAAGAAAATGGAAAGAATTTTTTTTTTCTGTCATGAAAGAGTTTTCAAGATTGTGGGGTGGCCAACGTCCCTGTGTCCCACTGTACTACATCCACCTGTGCACTAAAGAGCAGCCAAATCCCATCTTATTACTTAGAACCAAAATAAGAGCAAACTGTCGTCAGTGGACCATTTTTCAAAACAGTTACTTTGGGCTCATTAATTAAATCGGACCTTGACACGGAGCAGAAATTAAAAGAAATGTTCTTCTTAGAATACGCGGCGGGGCGACGAATCATGAATAGCGGGCTGCAAACGGCCCCCGGTCCGTACTTTGGATGCCCTTGCTTTAACCTGTCTCAAACTCTATCTTCAGCTCCTTTTGCACTCGTTGGCTTCTTATGCCCCCCCCCCCCCGCCCCACCCCCCCTTCCCCAAAGGCTGCTTTTTCTCTGGGCGAGGAGCCTTTCCTTTGTCGAGGGAGATTCAAGGCTCAATGTTGGGCAAGCACGGCACAGTCCTCACACCAGTCCAACCGCATCCCTGCGGAAGGTCATTGCACGCAGTGAAACGGTCGACCTTCCTGTCAACATCTGTGTGTCCTTCCTGCTCCCCTCGGAGTCCTGCAGTGTCCCCCAGCCTGCGCTCTCCAAACAAGCTTACAGACACTCTTGACCTCGGGTGTCCACCTTCTGAATGGCTGCATCTGTACAGCGGGGATATATATATATATAGTACACAAATAAAAAGCTCTATCACTGCACCGTAGTTTGCTGATGGAGTTGAACAAAAAACAAACTTGAGACAGCACTTGGCATTTGTCAAAATTATGACAATAAGTGAACATCTGGGTTGAGTGTCATAATTGCTAAAATGATGTCTGATGATGATGATGATGTTCCATAATTTATTCTGCATTTAATGCTACAAAAATCGTAACAGGTCACACATTCATTCTGGTTCTGTGTACTGCGGACGAAAATGGATGGATGGATGAAATTGTACTTGGGTGCGTTTTTTCACACACAATCTATTAGATTACAAACCATTTAAAGGTCAAATGTCCGTAAAGTGTCTCCTTTAACAAGATGCTCATGTCTATGTGTGCCCTGCGATTGGCTGGCAACCAGTCCAGGGGGTACTCCACCAATTGTCCGGGTAGGTTCCAGCACAGCCGCAACACTCGTGAGGATAAGCGGCTCAGTTGATGGATGGATCGGGAAAAAAAAAAAAAATGCTCCTTTTAACCCTTTCATGCCTCCTGTAACCTGATAACCTGATAAGCTGTCCGCTGTAGTCACCGCTGTCCCTGAAAGGGTTAATTTTTTAATTTTATTTTTTGTAGAACACATCCTCTATCTTACTTGACACATTTGCAGGCTCTCCAGAGGCAATAACTCATCATTACAATCCCAATCTTGTCATCATCCCTACATAGATTATGATATCACATCTGACCTTTTCCCGAAATCGATTCGCATCCCGCCAGCCTGTATCTTAATAATTTACAATAGTGGGTTGTATGTATCCTGAAAGGTTCTGTACTATTCAATCATCAGGCAGCGACTCATCCGTTTTGAAAATTTTCAAATCGGCAGTCCCTCAAGATTAGCTCACCGTTGCGTTACCCACCCGACAGTCACAAATGAGTCACGGCCGTCAAACAGGAAGGAAAACGGGTGTTGCGTCAAGCCTGCCTTGCAGAGTAATTTAGTTGAAGCCACGCGATCATTTGTACATGTGATAAACGTTATGTGAAAATAAAACACTTCCCCCGTCCTCTCGACTGACATGCTTGTTTTCCTCACTGCTTCATTTTTGTCAATAATCTTCAAGTACGAGTTGCAGTGGAAGCGCCACCATCCATTTCATTTATGTGCGACGCTTTGCTGCTTTCAGTCTGTTGACAATGTTTTGACGGCTCGCTGATGA